TATATATATATATATATATATATATATATATATATATATATGTATATATATATATATATATATATCTTGTTGCACTAATACAGTGTGTCTAAGCTGCCCAAGAATGGATTTCAAGACTTCAGGAATAATCTATGTGTATATATATATATATGTTGTTGCAGTAGTACCATATACTTATGCCTTGGCTCCTCTTGTGTAATTAAGCTGCCCAGGAACAGACCTATAGGAAATCTTTCTGCAGTCAATGTGGATCGAGAAGCACTTCACCCAACTTATTATTTAATATTGCCTACAATGATGCTCATAAAAAAGTATCTATTTTATTTATTATTCATATTTTGTCTTTTCCTTTAATATAATTCATCATTCTGCTCATTAGTACTCTGAAATTCAGCTTCTTCTACTCGCCGCACCGCCGCCTTGAACTCAACGACGCAGAGTTCTAGAGGCGGCTCCTCGGCAAGAAGTAAATGCTTTTGAGAGAAAAAAGAAGTCCACATCTTAACTTGACAAACAAGCTAAGAAGATCAAGGCAGCTGCTTGTGCTCTAGTCTGCAACCGCTCTGCAGGAGCAGCAGCAGCACGGTTTATTGCAACTCGCTAGAGGTCACCCCCTCTGAACATCACTCAGGCCATTGTACCTCCGTGCCTGGGGTATTTAAAGAATGGAGAAAATATTATCAGCAGTTTGTTTTAAAACTCTCGTCTCAAGTGTTCACTCTGCTGCAGGTCATGACGGTCCTATGTATGCATATCCAAGCACAACTCCCCCGCATAGATTAACACTGCAGGTAAATGGTACCCCATTCACTGGCCGTCAGCAACCAGCCCACACTCCAGCAGAAATTCAAAACACAGTTTCAGGCGGATCGGGCTTCAGATCCTGTTTCAATCGCCAAACTATGAAACCCGAAACCCTAAACCCTGAACCGTAGAACCAAGGACTTCTGTTCAACCTTTTTTTTCGAGACTAGCTGGGGTATATTCACCGTGTTTGTTCGCATTTAAACAACTTAATAAATTAATTAATTATTATTTTGGTTTAGGGAGGAGAAATGATGCTTCATTGTGTGTGCAAACACCAGCATCGGCCCTTCCCTGAGACCGCCACCACAACCAAGCCACTGGCTCTGGGAACGTTTGCAACCACCCAGGAAGCTGCCATACACCATTGCCGCTGCTTGCGCTGTCTGCATGTGGCACTAACTCATAACACGATCCACTGATAAAGGACACATGAAGGTCGTCACAGCGCAAAAAAGCCCAGTCGTAGAGCACTGGACGGGGGCCACAGCACCCCCCGCAATGAGCAGGAGGCAGAGGGGGGGCTTCCCGCTGTATCCCCCCGTAAAAGGCGTTTTTGGATGTGGATCTAGATTTAATTGGAACTAAAATGATTTGTTTAATTGGCTTATAACCGGTTGAGTGGTATGAGAAGGCAATCGCAACCCGAAACCACGGCAAAAGCAACAACCCAGAGAGATCTCTTACCACTTCGACCTGCCGCGCCTGCCGACCTGCCGCGTGTCTTGCGTTGCCTGTTTTTTGCATTTGTTTAAGTTAAATGGTTTATTTCAGAGGATAAGTCAAGCACAAAAATTTCTGTTTGTTTTATTTTTGCTGAATATTAGTTTATTTAATTCTATCTTTTGTTTGCAGTTTTGGCTTTGCTGTCCCGTTTTCTGCCATTCGCCGTTCACGCGACTGCAGGACCACGCAAAGAACTCCGAACTGCTTGCCGTCTTTTCCGCTCTCTTCAATTTGAATATTTATAGTTCTCTTGTCTAGAAAACGTTTTTAAAACAGGCTTGCCCTGCGTCGCAATGGCTCCTTTCTACAAGACCGCAGCAGCATTGTGCCTCGTCGGACTCTTTGGGCTCCAGTCCGCGGCGGACGAGACACCGAAGTACGCATTTGAGATAGTAGATGTAGAAGAAGGTAAGCTTATTGCCGCTGATGATTCTCATATTCCTTGTGCTATCTCCCATCTGGTTTGCTGTCAAGCGGTCAACTCCTCGGTTGAGTCACACGGAAGTTGCTTCATTGCACATTGATTTTCCACCGTTGTTCTCTGCAGATGGCTACTTAACGGCGAAGTTGGCCCGTAACGGAAAAATTTCAGCTAAGACCAATGCAGTTGAAAAGGATACCCAGCTTGTCACAGAGTTGCAGGCAAAAGTGAAAACCAACACTCAGGTTAAAGAGGCGACGTGCTCGACATTGGTGACAGCAGAACTTGTGAGCGCACAAAATATAAAAGGCCGGCTTGCATGACGACGCTACGGCTACTGCGATGTCAGCATCAGCAGCTGGTCCCAACACTAGGCACCGTTGTCAGATCCGACAAAAATCATGCATTTATTCCTTTGATTATCTGAAACTGAACGTAAGAAAGCTGTTTTGCCGTTTCCTTCTTCATTTTGGTGTACAGAAGAAGTTCTTTCATCACACCTTCAACTACACAGATGAACTGGACTACCGTACACTGGTGCAGCAGGCCCTCAAAACCGGACTTGACTCAATCGGGTAAGGAGATGCGATATTCATCATCGCTACAGGGCGCATCCCTCTGTTTTTTCCGTGCAGTTCAAAGCTACACGGATGATATCTAGCGTATTTCGCATGCTGTATTCCCCACTTTCTCCTCATCCGTTTTCAGATCACTACATTCATGTTGTGCTGCACTGATTGTTTATACTTCAACAGCAAAACGTACCCGGAGAATGTAGAGGCGTGGAAAAAGATATGGAAGGAGGAAGAGGCTGCCAGTGTGTTGCATCTTCTCGGAGCCACCAGCACGAAAATCGGTTGCGTAATTGGAAAATGTGCCCAAGCATTACCTGCAGTTGATACATACACAGCGTCAAAAGCAAAAACAACGACGACGGCTGTGCTTTTCTGTAAATTAAGTCCTGCAGCAACAGAGGGCCAGGCCGCCTTCAGGTACGCTTGGTTTTTTGGATTTGAATGTTTAGATGGTTCTTACTCAAGGATTTAGAAGTGAACAGCTACAATAACTGGAGATGTATTCTTTGTTCTTGTCTCTTTGTTTCGTCTTTCCTGCAGCGAGGAGTACTTCAACGAACTTCTTGCACGAGAAGATGAATTAAAAAGTATGACGGAAGATGATCTGAAGGACCCGATTGTAACCAGCTCTGCAGATATTGCCGTTCCCAGCATTCTAACTGCCGGTTTGGTCGCCATCCTGGCAGCTATCTCTGCCTAGACAGGCAG